ATCCTACTACTCTAAGCCACTTGAGCGCGCCAGATTTGTCGGCTAGATACGTTCTTCGCACATCAGGCGACGATGAAGCTCGTTCAGTAGGTCAACGCGGGGTAGGTATTGTACTGAGTAATAGGGCGGAGTCCTCTCTTATCGATTGGATCCTCGTCAACAGTCGTTTATGTACAGTGCGTCTCCAGGATTCAATCAGCGTCCGGAAGGGAAGCAACACTAAAAGGTGTTTGTTCATGGTATCAGCATATGCACCGACTAATTACGGTTCAGATACCCAAAAGGACGCTTTCTACGATGAACTCACCGATCTCATTTGGATGAGTCGAAGCTCCGACATAGTTGTACTTGTAGGTGACTTCAACGCGCAAGTTGGAAAACTGAGCGCATCAGAAGCTTGCCTAGGGGATAGTTGTGCTCTGCCTTGCCTACGAACTGATAACGGCGATAGGCTTCTTCAGTTCTGCGCAAACCATCATCTGTTCCTAACAAGCACCGACTTCCGACACAGCTCTCGATGGACGGCAATGTGGCACTCCAGTTCAACTGGTACGCTAACTCAAATCGACCACATTGCAGTAAGTTACGTTGGCGTGGCTCAGTGCAAAATTGTAGGTCCTATTGGACCACCTGCGTATGAGTATGACCACGCATTAGTTCCGATGCAGTTCACTCCGACTGACTGGTCGGCGACAAAACCAGCAAGCTCGGATAACTCATCAACGACTATCTGCTCCGGCAGTTCGTGCACGCTATGAGTCAGAGCTAGTGCGTAAGCTAAGTGCGCTTCAGCGTGGTGATATAAATGAGCAGTGGGATCAGATTAGGCGAGCAATGTATTCCGCAGCGAATGTTGCTTGTGGGTCTGAGCCTCAAATCCGTCGGAGGCATTGGATATCTCACGAGTCAGTAGCCCTGATGGAGCGAAAGCGGCAAATCCCGACTTACCAGGATCAAAATAGAGTTAGGCGGCAGCTATAACGTCGGCTCACGAAGATTCTCAAGGACCGTGAGAACTGGTGGGCAACAAT